GACTGTGAACTAAAAGTCGTCGATGTAATTACGCTCTGTAGTACAATTTCATTTAAGAAATAAACGAATAAAGCTAAATTTTTTATTTTCCTCTAACTTATTACTTTTACAGGCAAAACCCGCCGAATCAAAGAAGTCCAAAAAAGAAAAGGCCCCTGCCGCTGACGCTGATTCGGATGAGGATGAAGTTTTAGAAGAGATCATTGAGGGTGATAGTGACATTGAAAGTGATGAATACGATATCCCCTACGATGGTGAAGAGGAAGATCTCGAATGTGACGGTATGTATCTATGTAAAGATTTATGGCCGTATTCATAAAAAATAACGTAGATTTTAAAAGCTTTATAAGGTGACATTTTCACACAAATTTTCAATTTATAGAGCACTTAAAGTCTTCTTTACTTTTTATAAATTTGGGTGTAAACATTATTAAATATAAATATAAAAAATTGTAGTAGGAATATAAATACATACATAGTTATTTACATATTTCAATGCCAAAAAAATTCATCTTAAAACCAAATGTATACGCTTATTGAGTCATCACTGTTTCGAATGTCGGTAATCATTCTTTCGGCAGTCGTTCATAATTTTAAAATTCCAAAGCCACTAAAGAAGTACCACCTTGTAGATTTTATCGCCGCTTACCTCAGGGCGGCAATAAAAATCCAAATTTTCGTCCGATTATAACTGTCATATCGAATATAAAAATTAGGGTTGTTTAAAAAAAGAAAGTACAAAGTCGATACAATTTAAAACAAATCTCATGTTTGTAAAAATTAAAAACAGAATTGACTATTAAAAATGCCCTCTCACCTTCCATTTACGTTTAATATTGCGGTTAATGTTTTAAAACTTGTTTGGACCTTATTAAAAGGAAAATCTTCGAAAGACGTAAATCGACTACTTGATCAAAATGATTACTTTCGAAGTGATTTTTAAAGAATAAAACAAAGGTTTCTATAAAGCTTTTCTAAAAATCACAAGTAATGCATTTTATTTTGAAAATGTAAATTTGACATTAACTTTCCTCGAACAAAATTGATTTTTCATATTTAAAGGACATATTTTAAAATAGAGGCTTTCTTTTAAACGGCAAAAAGTTTAATGGGCCCATTACGGATGACAACCGAACTTCAGTTGCGTTGTCAGTGGCTGAAATTGTATTACAGATGGCAACTGCATTTTTGTGGTTGCCGCGCAAATTTGTATGGAATTTTTTTTCAACTGTTTTCGCTGCTTATTTACACTCAAATCTTGGTTGCTGGTACCTCGAAATTCCCTTATCTTCAACTTTATAGCACTTAACTATAGTTGCCCACTTCCTATCCCCAGGATCTATCATGAAATTTATAGAGCCTCTAGGGTTAGTCGAGGTGTTGTGATGAGCTAAGGGCATTCATCTAAACACGTAAACTTACAAAACATGTAAATTTAAGAGTTAGGAAGTAAAAATCAAAAATGTATTTTCCTTCACGCCTCATCTACTAATGTTCCAAATTTTGATAAAATGGTGTTAAACCAGATTGAAATACTTCTATTTCGAGTTTAACTTTCGATAAGTTTACCGCATCCCTCACATTTAATCAAATTGATAGATAGTTTACGAGACCGTAAATTTACGAGGCATTTACCCTGCGTAATAGTTTCAGAATTTCTAGCTCTCGCTAAACACTAATGTATAATAATTTCCAAATTTCTTCTATTACAGACGATGACGACGATAACAATGACGGCTCCGGCTCCGACGATCAGGCGTAATAATAATGTAGTAGTCAAAAACCATTTAAATTAAATATAATAAAAATGCAAGAAAACTTAAAAAACAGTAAAACAAACAAAAAATGTAATAACACAAAACCAACAAAAATCGATGAAAAAGGAAAGAAGTATATAATTATTATGTTAAGAAATACTTTTTAATTTCTTATTTTATTTTAATTGTATTATGTGTAATTTTTTTATAAAAAAATAAGAGATACGATGATGATGCTGATCAACAAAAAAGGCAAAAAACCCATAAACTGCATAATTTTTTCCTTTACTCTTAAGTCTTACGTATGTACGTATATTATCATTTAAATATATAAATATATTATATATATAAATATATATAAAACTTAAGCGTATTGATGAAAAGATGAGTTTAACAAAAATTAAATAATATAACAATAACGAGATGAAAATGATGAACACAAATTACAACAATAGCAATTAGAAATGTTACAATTGAGTAAAAAAACGCAAAAACATGAAAAGTATTTAAATAAAAGAAAATTAAGTGAAAAAAATTTAAATTTTTTTTAAAAATCATTTTCTAGTCGCCAAACATTTTCGCTTTGAGTGTTGTTGGTTGATGGAAGGGTAGCTAAAAAAAAAATATATATTAAAATAAAATATGTCCTATACTGCCTGCGGAACAGCGAAATTCGATCTTTAGACAATGTGGCTACAATAACACTCGTATTTTTTTTACAAAAATTCTTAATGAAAATATTGAGTTGTTGGAAATTTGTAAACAACTGGTTGGTGTTTGTTTGAAGTTCAAAACTGGTAAGTGTTTCACGTTGAATAGTGTGTTTCTAGTTTATGATTTTCGTTTGCTCGTTTCACTGAATTTTTAATATAGAAATACCTAAAACTATGCTAAATATTTTTCATTCACCTGTGATTCTCAATGTGGATGTGTTCAAACCTGCCTGAATATCAGGTTAGCTGGTTAAAAAATTACTATTCTCTATTTTATTTTATTGTTGTATAAACTAAAAAAAAAACGAATGTATGTATGTATATAACCAAATTCTTCATAACCAGGCAGATGATTCACACCCGCAATATTTTATGGGATTCGTAGTGAATGAATGCGTGCATCATGAAAAGTCCGAACCTCACCAAGAGCATACGAGATGGACATTTGTAACAGATATAAGTAAATAATGATTTATAACCAAAAAAAAAACAATATATTTAAATTATTTGTAATTTTAAAAATGCCCATGCATGTACACTAATTTTCTACCACTTACTAAACACGACTCAAATTAAAAGAAAATCCCAACACAGTATTATTTAAGTATACATACATACATACGTATCACCCTACATACTTACATATTATTTTATGCCAAATACACCTGAGCGAGATGCATTTTAAACCAAAAGTATACCAACTTTTTATGTAAAAATAAAAAATAAAACCTTAAAAGTCTGTAAAGAAAACAACGTGTATGAGAATATACATACGTACATAAATATATACCTTAAATAAACAAAGTTACTAACTAATCTACTTGTGTTATGGAAATGCTAAATGTGAGGGCTCAGAGATCATTCATATTACATATTAGTTGCAGGTTAGAAAATAAGGAAAACTCACACATGCATTTATGAATACGCAGCAAGAACGTGAACCAGGTGAAAAATTAGGTTGGTTCCAGTGTTGGCATTTTTGATAGTACCAGATTGACCGAGCTTTGCCCGGAGTGCATATACTTTTTAAAGTTTTCAAGGATTGGATATGAAATACTGGTAATTTGAATAGCCTTATTTTTATTTTTGAAAAAAAAATGCATTTCGATATCTATCAAGTAAATTTCTTACTCAAATATTTAGGGCTGGCAACCCTATTCCGAAATACGCTGGAATGAATAGTACTGTGTATACAAAAAAAAATGCTGATTGAAATTAACAAAATAAAAACTTTTCTGATATAGAAACGTGGCAACTCTGATCGAAAATAGTTTCTGACCAAAGTCCTCAACAATACCTTTCATTTGATATTGTGGCGAATACTGCGGCAACACAAAGCGAACAACGAGAAATAGGCA